TTTTCTCTTTTTTCTTTTTTGTTTCTCCTTGCAAGATGAAGCCAAAGTTGTGACAGAACTCGAGGAAAATACCCGGGCTGCGCAGGGCAGGTCACCGGGCTCAGCTGGGGGCCGAAGACCAGAAATTCACTGGTCATCTTGGGGTAACTTGGATTGAAAATCTTCCCCGATGGCTTTAAGATAAAGCCCCTCTCCAGCTGGTGCCGTAAGGGACGGCGTGCGTGCGGAGGGATGTGCGAGGTTGCCATATAAGAACATGGGAGAATTTATTTGAGTTCGCCTAGGCAGAGCAATGTGCAGCGTGTGTGTTAGGAAGCGGGAGGCAAAGCGCCTCTTCCCTCGGCAGCTCTAGGAGCAGCAACGCTTTGTGCATATCGGTTGTAAAAGGGGATTTTTTCTCTTTAACGAGACGACCCTTTAAAGAAGTCACCAATAGAAGGAGTCGTGCGAGAGGATGCAGATAGACCCTATGAAATACAGCGGCACACGTATTCCAGCACAGTTTGTGCCAAGGTGTAAAGATGGAGGCTTTGGTTAGTTCCCATTTTTCTAACCGTATTGGGAAAGGCATTAAGAAAATGCTCTGAGAGGAACTGGTTGTGTTTATAGTGCTATTTTGGTAACTGCAGTATTTTTTTGCTTGCATGTCAAAATGTTTCAAGTTTTGGAGTAGCAAAGAAAAGTGCGGCCGCCGTGTGGGCGAGAGGCTCTGTCCCCGGCCGGCCGTTGCTGCCGGGTTAGGTGCCCGGTTTGGGTTCATAAGGACACCGGCCCGGTACGAGCCGGGGCTGCGGGACGGCGGGTGATGAAGGTCAGCCCGGAACCTCGCTGGCCTTCACAGACGGGTGTTTGCTCCGAGATTTGGATCCGAGCGAGCTGACTGCTTATTGGCATTGTCCATCCCGGCATGAGTATTAGGGAAAGCCTCCCCTGACGGCTGGCACCACCAGTACCGTGTTGTGAGTAGGCAGAGGGCAAGGGTCTATTTTATTTTATTTTATGTAGGAAAACCAGCCAGCTAACCCGGTAGCAGTGTCACTTGCCATAACTGGAGGGAGTAAACTGAGGTTGCGCCTGGCCGGAGCCCGTCTTCGTGCTTAGGCTGGCACTTGAGACAGTATTTTTGACCCTAGCAGAGATAGCATCTTTTGTGTTTCCTCTTCAGCTCCCGCTGCTCTGTCTGCTTTGCCTTTTCTTCCTCTCTTTATTTGCCTGTGTCTCACCTGCTCTTTTCCTTCCCCCTTTCCCACCTTGCTCACGGCTCGGGCTGCTTGGAGGCTGCACCCACTGGAGGGCGACAGACACCTTTCCCTCCCCGTGGGTCCATCCGCCCCGGGAAAGGGCACAAAACCAGCACCTGGGCGCCAAAGGCTGCATCTCGCTGTCATTTATTAAGTTGCATCTTGCAACGTGTGCTGGTAGGGCCCTTGAAAGCCCCTTCTGTCCCCCGCAAATGGGGTTTTCAGGGATGCCCTGGAGAAAGCAGGAGGTCGCAGGTGGCTCTGGGGGCTTTGGAGGCAGGAGGTTGTTGTGTCTTGGAGGAGCTAGGTCAAATACACCGGGTTTCTTGGGATTAACTCCACAATCTAGGACAAGTCTGGAATGCTTCAAATGCTACCGATTTTTCTTATATTTTACTCCGGTAAAATGTAAGCAAGAGCAAAATCCGGTATATTGTTCTGTTGGTAGTTGCCTGGTTATAGCTTACTGAGGAAGGTCGTCTTGAGGTTTCTTAGATGGCCATGGTGAAATGTCTGGGCTGTGGCAAGAGTCCTCAGTGCCTTCGAAATATGTATGAGAAGAGGCGCAACGTGGCTGTGGGAAGAAATGTGAAGACTCTTCAGGTTGGCTTAGTCCTTCTGCGTGGGGCTTGTGAAACCTCCCGTGCCCCAGGGCCGTGAGGTTTGGAGAGCCCTGGGGAGGCACTGGTCCCACAGCCAAATGCTGCAGATATTTCAGTGAGGTTTCCCATAAATCAATACTCTACATAACCAAGGCTGAGGTTCAGCTGAGTGGCTTCCAGCCAAGTCCCGTTGGCTGTTTCCAAGGACTCTCTCTGTAGGTTTCCGTGTTTCATGGGCAATGATGCTCCCAGGATTTTCGTCAACGCACCCCAAGACTCAGCAGCAATTTATTTTAATTTTGTTCCTTCTAACTCTGTAAGCTCCCTCAGTTTTGCTACAAAACCCCAGTTGCACCAGTAATGCAAGTGTGTCTGCAACAACGTCCTGTTTGGGCATTCAATCATTTTGGCAAATGACTCAAAAAAGATTACGCTGATTTGTTTCTTTTAAGCTTAACTACATTACAGCACGTAAAAACAAATGCGAAGGCTGTGGTAATTAAAGCCTTATACAAGTAATGCTTATTTGATCGATCATACTAATAATTTGTAGATTGTTTAAGAAGGGCAACTTTGAATAGACTATCTAGTAGGATTAGTCTATTAGGATTAGTGCCTCTGACTTGTCATCGTTAGCCTTGCATATGTGAGCAGAGTGGATCAGGGTTATGCCTTTTAAAGTGATCCTGGCTCTGGTCTGGTTTATTCTGATGCTGCTTCTTTGCAGATTGAGTCTGTGGTGTTTGGAAGATAAGCTCGTAACTGAAACTTCAGCCATTTAACATTTGTTGAACTTCCCCCATAAACGCATTTTTACTTGAATCCTCAGCTGTTGCAGTGCCATGGGTTTAATTGATTTGTGCTAGCCGAGTATCATTCCAAGGCGTAGAAACTAAGCAGTGCTCTTTAAATTGCTTATTGAGGAGCTAATACTGATGGAAGATAATCTGGTTGGGAAGTTAAAACATGCAAATGCAATCGTCCTTCTTTTCCCAAGGTGGTTGCCATGGGAAGGGCTGCTGCGCTCCCAATCCGCGATCCGGGGAAGAGCGAAGCAACCGAGGCTGCTGCCCTACAGCATCTGCTGCGTTTAGACTTTCTTTCTCTCTGTGTTGCCGCTTGCCTAGATTTACACAAGCGAAAGGGAGGTCGGTACTAACCCGAAATTGCTCCAAGGGCCTTCACAGGTCAAGGCCCTGTTCCGCACACGAGCCCTGAGCGGCCGCCGCGAGGGAGGCGGCTGGCAGGAGGCCGCAGCAGGGCGGCTTTGGGAGCGTGTGCTGTTATAGGGAGGCTTGTTCATGTTAGCAGTTACAGGGTTTCCTGTTGTGGGCTCTGCGTTGCCCAGAATGGTCACAGCCTTGAAGAACGTTGTCGTTTGCCGTGGTTCCAGGACACGGGTTTAAATGTCACTGCTGCTTGAGTACCGGAGTAGAAAACCAAATTACACAGTGCCAAAATGCAGAAGGAGGGCCCTGCTTTTGGGATTATGGTTGCAGGTTAGCCAGGGATGGAGGAGCAGTTGACAGCCCATGCACAGAGCCACGGGGCTGTCAGTAAGTTGGAAGGTAATTAAAAGTTCCTTCTTTTTGTTTTGGATCATGTAGCATTTGCTTTTTATTTTGCTGCTACAGTGTAATTTTCCTGCTTATGAGACAGATGTAGCCAACATTTCTGTGATGTTTTAGTAGTGTCTTATTATTGCATTGTTACTATATTCAGCATCTGGATGTTCTTCAAAAGCTTAAGCTCACTCAGATGAAATTCAGAAAACACTATGCATGATAATGTTAAAACATGCCTAATTTGTCATGCTACACCCATTTTTTTTCTTAATTTTTTTTTTGCTTTTTCTTTTTCTCTTTTCTCCGAACAGGAAGAGAAAAACCATTCAGAAGAGACTCTTCTTCATGTAAGTGTTATTTATACTTGTTTATGAAATTACAAAAGGGCTATGAAGATGCTTAGAACTTTCAAATACTGAACACTTACCATCTGTTCATAGAAACCAAGTATAGAGCATGTAAAAATAGGCTGTAGTTGTACAATAATAATACTCAGCAACTGTTATCTTAAATCTATCTATCTGTGCAGTTCTTCTGTGCATGTCACTCTAGAATTTAGGAACCTTTGTAAAGAGCTTTACAGTAGCCATTTCAGCAGCATGCCCTTAAATTAGGTATGTGAGCTCTGTGGAGACATAGTATTGAAGTGGTTTCCCCGAGACAAAGAGGAAATACGAGGTATGAGTTAGTGCTCATTTCAGAACCCCAGAGTCCCTAATTCCCAAATCCTATCACAAGAATAAGCTTCTCTGTCTTGGATTCTACAAAATCCAAGTTCTGCTTGTAGAGCCATTTGTTTGCGTGCATGTATGCTTGTGTGTGCATGTATATGTGTGTGCGAGAGAGAGTGGATATATGCATATTTGGCCTCAAATAGCATATAGGTGTTCCAGGTCTTTTCCACAATCCTTGATGAGACCCATTGAAATAAGAGTAAATGCAACCATCCATTGGTGAATACTGTTGTAAATGTTTCTTTGAAAGCATTTGGCTCCAGACTAAATGCTCAGTCTAGGTGAGCCTGGTACAGTATTCTTCATGGGACAAGGAAAGCTGCATGTCATAAAAGTACAGGAGGTTTTTTCCACATCACCTAGTGACTTGGTTTGCTTGCAGATGTCTGAGTTGAAAACTCTTGAGTAGTAGAGTAAGTTTGGCTCTGGTATTTCTTCCTAGTAAATAAATTTGATTAAATGCTTTAGGGGGCTGCATAGACGAAGACTGTCATTGCCTTAATGCAAAATTAGCTTAGCAAGGAAAATGACTGCATTGTTCACAATGCAGGGCCTGCTTTGCATAACTCCGAAGCATGTACTGTGTCAAGTGGCATGGCAAGCCCACGAGCACTCACATTAGGCTGATTTGCCATAAATCAACATTTTGTTGGAAAAATAACATGTATCTCTGAATTTCAGCACTCCATTATGCTTGCGTAGCAACTGCTGGTTAATATGTAGCAAAATGCCATGTGGTAACAAATGTTTTTTTGCTATTGTTGGGCTGGAATGTTAGTTCAGCTTCTAGATAAAAGCGGCTTGCGCAAGGCGCCTTTGTAGACCATGATTTCTGTGGCTTGTATGGTAGTGTTGTAGACAACCGTGTTCTGCTGTTCCCTTTCCCCTGTGCTTCCCTTCATTTTCCATTTACAGGCAGAGGTGGGGTTAGGTGAAGGCAGAGAATTGCAGGCCCTTTGAATCCAGCAAATATGAGTGTGGGTTTACATGAGGCCCATTGCTAGTCAAACATCTGTTGGAAAATACTCTTGATTCGGATTGTGTTTCTAGCACAAACGTTCTAAGACACTTTATAGCTTTAAATAAGCATTCTTTGGCTGTTTTATGGATATCAGGGGCAATCTTTCCAAAGAAAGCCTCTAGTAAGTGAAAGAAAGCCCCACGGGTATATAAGAATAGTCCTTTCTCGTAGTGGGAATCCCAGCTTAAGATTTGTATCTTTGAAAAGGTACGTCATCATTTTTAAATGGTAACAGAGGAGGAAACATTCCAGAAGTCTTTTCATTATTACAGTTTTCAACATTAGTATTTCATTATTATTTCATTCCGTTATAGGAAATTCAAACCTCTTCAAAAGCATGTGCCTCACATGCTTCCCAGATATGTTAGATGAAAAATAGCGTAACAAAATTGTCTTTAAAGGCAGAAGCTCCCAGTAGAAAAGAACGCAACAGACCAATCCTAAAGATGAGACCGTGTGATGTCCCAAATTGTAAATTAAAGTATGAAGCCTATTGCAGTACAGTTTTTAAGAGCTTTCTGTAGTGATCTCAATTTCATAAACAATTTATGAAGAGCCTCATAAGTCAAATATATACCCTCTAAAGTGAATAATAAAAAGTCTGTGGTCCATAGGTCATTTGTGATACATCTTTCCAGCACCTGCTGTGGCTTTTCAACAGCTAAAGGCAAGCTTTAAGCATCAGAGCCTCTCTCTGGTTCTGTGCATGAGATACTACTTAGACTTAGACTTGATAACTCCATTTGTGCCTGTCTGTGCATTGGCTTCCCTTGGCTTCTCCACCTGTAGGGGTTTCCAAAAGGGAGTTAAGCTCCAAGGACATCAATAGTGAGGCTGTTGCCAAGTGCCAGGATCATGCATCATCCAGGATAGGGATCTCTCCTGGGCCCTGTGAACTTTCAGGAGGGGGGTTAACTCCTGTGGCCCTGAATCCTCAGTGGGGATTAGCCCCTTGGAGTGTGAATTGGACAGGTCACCATGTCAGGAGGTGACCACTTTGAAAAAGGACTCTGTGACAATAACCAGCCATAGGTAGTTGTAATGTTAAGAAAGGGACCATCTTATTATTGTCACTTTGCGACAAATACTACCACAATTCATTACTTTCCATCAGTGCCTCATCCTATGGAGGAATCACCACTGCCCATCTACATTGAGGAGGGGACAGAAGTCCCGATTGGTGAGTGCAGTTGGGATGGGATATTTCAAAGGGGGGGGTAATAATGGTACATAATGGGTTTATATTCCTCACGGTTGGGTATACCCATTTGTCTTTCTTTGAAAAATCTAAGACGTGTTACAAATGTTTTGCTTTTTTATTTTATTTTTAAATGGTAGTGTCTTTTAGTGCTCCTGAAGATGGTTATATACTGCTAGTGTTGGTTTTCAGCTAATCTTAGACAAAATATGTAATTTAAGCAGCAACTTTGAAAGCATGCACACAGGATCTCTTAACACAGGGCCGGGAAGACTGTGAGTATCGGTAAAATAAGAAATAAAGGTAGTTCCCCTTCACCCTTTGACCTCACTATTGAGACTCAGAATAATCTGCCGGTTGGGTCAGCAGTTTCTGTCCTGCTGACACTGCCCTGCCTGGCACCCAGCAGACCCAGCGGGCAGACAGCACCGCCAACCTGCAGGGACCCAGTGGGGTGGCTGGTAGCTGCTTGCGCGTCGGAGCGCTGTTCGCCCCCGTTCCTGAGCCCTGGTGCTGGTGTATTACTGCTGCATGGATTTTTTCACGCTCTATTTTTTCTTTTTTTTTTCCTGAGAGGAGCTGTCTGTCAGGCCATAAAGAAAGATCAGTAAGTTTGTCTGCGGTGATTTCTTTGGATTTTACAAGGCTGTGACCACTTCCCAGAGCCCCTTATTCAACCCGTTCTTGGATGCAGACAGTAAGTGTGCCTTGGCTACCATGGTTAGGGTCTGTGCTCTTCAGCAGGTGTGTTTCTTCAAGTAACTTATTCTTACTCTACATCCTGGGTTTTCCATTCTTAAATTCAAGGAATTGCTCCTTTTCCTATCATCTTTTGAGCTAGATTAATTATCTGCCTCTGCGCATAGTTCCTTGAAGGTATTTATAGCTGGATCTCAGCCCAGGAGTCTTCTTGTTTCTAGACCATATTAATTTAGCTCCCTTACTCTCTCCTTAGATCATTTTTATTGCCCTCATTTATATTTCCTTCATTTTTCTTTTGTTCCCTACCTAACCTGGGGAGACCTGAACACCTTATGTTGTTTCCACTGTAGTTTTAACATAGCCTTATGCCTCAACTTTCGATATGATCCCTTATATATACCCACCCCAAAATAGCTGGGCTTTTCCCCCTTCTCCCACATCTCTCCTTAGTATCACACAGGAAAACTATTACCTTGCTGCTCGCAATCACCTTTAGGTCTTTCTTGGATTCACAGCTTTGCAGCGGGCAGCTCCTCAAGAGGTGTCAGTGCTCTCCCTAGATGCAGGACTTTATCCTTCCTAACACTGACTCCTATCCCAGTGCATGCCGTGTACACATTGCACTTAAGAATGGTTCAAAACTGCATGCCTACATATTTATTTTAATGCCCCAAGATCTTATCCTGATGTTCACATAGACGCTGTTATGCCAAGAAGCACTTGCCATTTTATATTTTAATCCTATTGCGGCTGTCTTCTGCATATTGCTCCGGAGTCCTTGCCCAGCTCCCTCATTCTTGTTTGCATACTGTCCTCACTCTGGTTATAAAAGTTCATAATACAAAATATGGCAACTTTAGCCTTTTCCTTTTCTTCATTTTATGCCTTTTCTTGTTATACAGTTAGTATATTGTTGCTGTATTCCTGGTGTGTATGATACGATGTTGTCTTTCTCAAAGCATGGATATATTTTCCTCACTCTTTCGCATTTTGGTCAGCTAACAACAGAATGATGCCAGTTCCCTCTTGCAGAGCCATTTAATCTAAGGCCTCTCGTGGATCCTCGTATTTTTCATCCTGTCTTTTCCATTGCTTTGGGGAAACCTGGACTTCTGGGGATGGTGTTATCTGCACTAAGAATAAAACTATAGGTTGATGCATCATAAAACCTACTAAACAAAAGGACTGTGAGTGGAAAGCTTGTTAGAGGATGTTTGTGTGGTGCTGTCATGAAACAGGTTTCTTGGATCAGGCACGGAAATGCAGCAGGAGCTGTGAAGTGCCCACACTGGGTCAGGGAAGGCAGAATGTTTATTTATTTTAAATAAATATTTGGACTGTTAATACAGCGAGCTGTAGTGGAGGGTGAATGAGTGCAAAAAGTAAATGATGCAGAGATGAGAGCAAACTGCAAGTTTTAAGTTTGGTATGTGAATGCCCGAAGGCAGGGGTCAAGGGTTTTATAATAGCTGAATGCAGTATAAATCATCAAGCTAGGAATTCAAAAATCAGATCTGTCCTTGAGTCTCAGTTTTGCTCCTCCTTTCCGTGCAGTTTACCCGAGTGACAAGAAGTCCTTTCCTGAGTGTAGATTGGAGAAGATTAACACACAGTGAAGTTGTTAAAATAACTCAGCACAATCACCATTTACTTACAAAAGATTGTCTAGAAAACCTAAATTATTTCCTCATCTAATTATTCCTCATCTAATTATTTCCTCATCCATATCCAAAATACGTTTTGGATAGTATATGGAGCTCATACTGTTTTATCCCAGGCCCGCCTGATGGTAAATTGCTTTGTAGCTTCTCTATTTATTGAAAAAAAAAAAGAGAGAGAGAGGGGGAAATCAGTAGGTTCTTTCACAATCTAAGTTTAGCAAGCCTAATTATTTCAAGCAATTTAAAAAGGAAGATGAATCTAGCTTGTTTATTACAGCTGCTTCATGAAAACAGAAGCTACAAATAATACACTGTAATGAAAATGTAGCTAACCCTGTCTTGAATTAACCAATAAAAAAACAAGGATATATGATCTGGACAAAGGGCATGTTCCCTTCTAAGGAGGGAGGAGCTCTCAGTTGAGGAGGAAGGTGGTTATTTCCTAAATACTGTTTTTCTGTCCTTGGGTGAAGTGACAACATTAGCATTGCTGCATAGATGAGTAAGAGTGGAGAAAGATCTGGACTCTACTTGGGTTTTATGTGATTTTGCATTTTCTGAAGTACATTCCTAGAGGAAGGTAGGTGAGCTAAATGCAAATAAACATGTTAATAAATCAACAACATTTAAGAAAAAAAAGAGGGGAAAGTAGGAAAGATGAAAGGAATAATTTGTGAGCAGTAGCAAATAATCTACAGAAGAACAATAAAAAAGCATAGGTCACACTGTGGCAGTCTTTGTTCAGGCACAATTTCAAGCAACTTCCACACAATTAAACACTTCAGGAGATTCAAGGTGAGAAAATAAGCAGAACAGGCCATTATTCACTGTTGTCATATATGCTAAAGTTCTGGCCATATTCCCCAATCGCCATTTGGAACCTGTTGTGTTCAGCACTGAAAAAAAAAACACCTGAGGCCACACAGTCCAAATTCACATTTTATAAAGCAAAAACCCGGGAACAAAATATCTGTGCTGGCAAACATTTTATTTGGACCATGCAGAATATGACAGAGGGAATAATTGCCTCCTTAGGGATCAAGGAACAGTAGAGCTGTAGGTTCAGGTGTTTGTTTATGTTATTCCTTCCAAGTCATATTTTGAGATATTAATGTTGTTTAATATCGCCTGTCAAATCAGCTGCAAAGAAGTACAAATCCAGGAGGTGATTCTCAGCTGATTTATACCTGGGTAGCTTTGTTGGTTTGAGCACATTACAATTGCTTTAGTGTTGTGTAAGTGGGATCAAAACCAGACTCCCATTTACATTATAGGTGCAAGAGCGTGTCTTGCAAGCCCTCATTCAGGAATCATCCTGCTGACCTTCAAATCTTTGGCACTTCTGCAGGAGCTAATGCGTAGGCAATATCCCATTTGCCCATTTCTGATCTTACTGGTCCATTTTTGCGGATAAATAATAGTGGCTTCAGTGGGCTTATTTCAGATGTATACCAGTGCTGTGTGGACCCCTCATTATCTCAATGTGACAGAAGGCTCCACTGCCCCTCGGAAGCTCTTGGTGGTCCCACCTGGTCATGGTGTAGCCCAGGCTCATTTGAGTAGTCTCAATTATAGACGAAGAATTCTCTTGTAATCGTGCACAGTTTCTTCTACCTCTGCTTGATCCCTGCTTTTAAGCATCTCTAGTATCTCATTAATTATAAAAAACTTTCCTGGATCTCTAGCCTATTCCTGCTCTTGGGCAGACTTACTGAAAAGCAGATGCTTTGTTATTTTTTTCTCCCTTGAAGTGGCAGAGCTGTTTGGTAAGCAGTAGGCATAGGGAACAGACCTTCCCCAGACAGGCAGGGGCATTTCAGACCTTGTGCAGAACCAGCTCTCTGTCTCTCAAGTACGTTGCCTTCTCTCTTGAGGAAAGAAAACCATTTCTGTCATCCACATTTCAGGAGTTGCTCTTTCATGGGGGTGTTGGCACGCAGAAAGCTTGATTTTGCCAGGTTCTGAGTGCCTTCTGCAAGGTATTGAGTGCCCTCCTATCCTTTGCAGCCAAAAAGGAGTTGATTGCTCTTGGCATCAGGCAAATCTGGACCCAGAAGACCACAGGTAGTATTTACCAATTATTTATGTGCTTTTGCATGCCAGAGGTTGTCTGAATTGATTTCCCTA